TATAACCCGTATATAACTAGCTCAACTGGATAACGTTCTTTGGCTATATGAAGAATTTCGAGCAAATTTATATTAACATAAAAATGGTTGCGTTAATCTTTAAAGAGATATACTTACTGTCGTAGACATGTTCAAAATTATTTAAAGAAGAACGATTATTTTATACATATTTTTGGGTATCTTGAACCTTTTTCGCAGGGCACGCAATAGAAACCCTCAAAGATGAATAATTTTCTTATCTTTCTTTTCGTTTTTTTTTTTATTTCTTCCAGGCAAAGTTTGCCTGGAAGAAATTGCCATAGGCGATAAGGCCGGCATTTTTATTATGTCTATATAATTTTAAGTGTCTATGTTCTACATACATTTTCTTACTTAAATACTGTCTATAGTTTACGCGAGTAGTACACATTTAAATAAAACACTAACGGTCGGAAACGTCGGGCCGAAGTTAAATCATTTTCAAATAAGTTTAACTAATATATCGCGTTTTAAACCGTTAAAGTGTTATATTTAAATTTTCTTACTTTTTTTCACTAATATTGATCGCAACCTATTGTTTTATAGCAAAAAACTTTCCTCGATAAGTAGTCCAACTAATACAGAATCTTTCAGAACACACGAATTGTTTAATTCGAACAAGTAGTTTCTGAGATTAGCGCATTCAAGCGAACAAACTCTTCTGCTTTATAATATTAGTAAGGACAAATAGCCCTAGGGTGTAGTACTAGTTCCGTTTTGCGACAACAGAGTTTGACAAACTTTAACATGTATGACATGTTATTGCGCATGATAGCATTGTAAACATTTAAAACTATTTGGATTAAAAAAAGTTATGACACTGGCAGGTTTTGGAATCGAGCTATCGTATCTGACCTGTTATTGTTAAATTTCTAAAAAAATAATTTCCAAATAAGTTTAACTAATATATCGCGTTTTATACCGTTAAAGTGTTTTATTTAAATGTGTACTACTCGCGTGAACTATAGACAGTATTTAATCTTGTATATTTTCGTAATTAACATTAGTGGTCTCTGTACGCTTCTACTCTGTGGCACACACGACCCCTCCCCTCGCTCCTTCCGTTCGTACGCTTCCAACATCCTTCCGATTTTTTTTTTCAGCTAACTCGGGTCAGAAATTCTAGAATGGGCCGTAGTTATAAAGTGTATAACTAGGGTTAAAAGATGAACTATGCAGATTAGAATAAAATAAAAAATGTATACATGACACATGACACATGGTCGGTATAAATAAAACACTTTAACCGTTTAAAACGCGATATATTAGTTAAACTAATTTGAAAATGACTTTTAACTTCAGCCCGACGTTTCGGATGCTTTGCAGCAGCCGTGGTCACGGCGGGACGTGGGGCCGAAGTTAAAAATCATTTTCAAATAAGTTTAACTAATATATCGCGTTTTAAACCGTTAAAGTGTTTTATTTAAATGTCTACTACTCGCGTAAACTATAGACAGTACATGGTCTGTAGTTTACGTTTATCTATACCTAACAATCACCGGGTCGTGGGTTCGACCCGCACTGGGTCTGGAAACAATTTATAATTTTACTGAAACATTTTAGACTGCGCCTGGAAATCTGGATATGAAATGGTTGGTAGGAATATAAAATTACGTCCGGCACACGAACCACCCTCTAGAGATGAAAAAGCCGTGAAGTAATATAACATCAACAAGATGTGCTGTCGAGCTATTTTGGCTTTGAAAATTCGGGAAACATTACTAGCAATACATTGCTACCATACGATCGAGCCTGTTCATTTTGTAATTGATAAATTGCCCTCCCCTATATAGTCTGTGGACCAGTACATGAAATGGAAGTACATACACTAAGGGAGATCATTGTACACATAGTGACATGGACGGATAGCCCCGGGAGACTTGCATCGACGATTCTGCGCCAAACGAGATTGTTTGATGTGAAAACAACTATTCTATAGTCTGTAGTCGTTGTCCTACAGTCTATGCTTTGGAGGAAACCCGACAGTAATACCAAGTTGGTCTAATTGTAGCAATGTATGGCTAATAACGGGTCGTTCAATCCCCACCGGGTCTAACATGGTTAAAAATAAATGTTGTTGCAAGAACGACGGGTCGCGACCAACGTCGTGGGTAACAGCTTTGGATGCCCAAAATATCTATTCTACGCGGACGAAGTCGCTGACGCAGCTAGTCAAATTATAAGCTTCTACAACAAGTTGGACTTCTGGAAGCCTGGATATTAAAACAATGCAAGAATCGGCCCTTATAAAATATATTAGAATTTTAATTTTTTGTATCACGGTTATGGTCGGCTTCGGATAATCAGCGTTCGGATAATCATCGTTATACCGTACTAGCATTTATACGCGTTAGATACGATCTAAGACATTCATTTGCGTCTTTCTCCTGTCTTTAGTGATAGATATTATCTGCGTTCCAAGTCTAGTAATTGTACCTTAGATCTAGACTTTCTACAGATATCGCTTTAGGATTAGCAAATTTATAGGAAAGATAATCGTTTTTAGTACTAACAAATAAAAGACGAATGTCAATACAAAATATAAAGTATTTTAACTACATTTAAAAGTTTCAGTTGTTTTAAATTTAACGCATTTTAAACAGTTTAAATGGATCTTATTTTAAATATATCCGCGTTTAAATAAAACACTTTAACGGTTTAAAACGCGATATTATATTAGTTAAACTTATTTGAAAACTATTTTAATTTCGGCCTAACGTTTTTGTCCACGACGACATTTTTGTCTCCCCGTGACCACGTCTGCAAGGCATCCGAGGCGTCGGGCCGTTGTTAAAATGATTTTCGAATAAGTTTAACTAATATATATCGCGTTTTAAACAGTTAAAGTGTTTTACTACTACTTTGTGTAATACTTGCGTAAATTACACATAGTATATCTGTGTTTCCTTAGCTCCCCGTGTGTTGTTTAGGACTGTAACTTCTCCCTAAGAGTAAGTGCAGTTAGCAGAGTGTGACGTCACAGTCCATTTGCCCTAATTAGAAAGGGACCTTTGATCCGTGACGTCACGGAAATTGGGGGTCTCTTAAAAGGTAGCCTGAAGAGGAATCAGTAATGGAAGGAAATTGTTACAACGCGTTAATGTCCGCAGTTAAATGTTGGGTCTGATTTCTGAGTGGGGCATTTTTTAACGGTTTAAAACGTATTATATATATTTGTTATATTACACGGAGAGGCACTTAACTGCAAAGCGTGCGAAACGTGGGGCCGTAGTTAAAATAATTCTCAAATAAGTTTAACTAATATATATCGCGTTTTAAACCGTTAAAGTGTTTTATCTAAATGCGAATCGCAATTGTCAAATAGACCATTATCTATAATAATATAAAACTGAGCAGTTTGTTTGTTTGAACGCGCTAATCTCAAGAACATTAAGGAAGGCTACGCTAAACATCGCTCTGTCACTAATACAAGCGAAGACATTTCGAGAAATGTGAGAAAAAATGGGAAAATAATTCATCATAGTAATTCAAGATACCCAAATGTGTATGAAATAATGATTCCTCGTTAAATGATCGAAAGATAAGTCCACGACGCTATATGTATACATTCAAAGATATACTTGCAAGAACGACGGGAAGGGACGCGACCGACGTAGTGGGTAACAGCAGTGATTAAAAAGGATGTGAAGGTTTGCAAAAACAAATTTAGATGTCCAAATAACTATTTTACGCGGACGAAGTCGCTGCCACAGCTAGTACGATATACATATAAGCATATGTTATACAGATTAAAAAACGTAATTAATGTTTTATTGCCGTCTGAGGCCACTTTATTGCACTTAAGGGTGTTTGCCTAATTTGTTTAATCTTTAGATAAGGAACAATGTTTAAATAAAATTTATTTTACTAAAACGATAGTCTTTTAGTAGTATTGTCTGTAGTTAACGCGAGTAGTACATATCTATACTAATAGATAAAGCTGAAGAGTTTATTTGTTGGTTTGTATGTTTGAAAGCGCTAATCTCAGGAACTACTGGCTCGAATTGAAAAATTCTTTTTGTGTCGGTTAGAGAATTTATTGAGGCCACTTTATGTCAATCCTGTAAGATTAACTCGCAACAGCTTTAATTTATAAAGTTCACAGGAGGTTTGCAAAAACAAAAATTGTTACCCACAATAACGATTCTACGCGTACCTACGAAGCCGCTGACTCAGCTAGTTTACACATAACATTCGTAACAATGTATCCGAAACGTCGAGTAATTGAAAAATTTTCAAGCCCGTTTCTCCCTGGCATGGGGCGAACACATTTCTGTGTCCGTTTCATTGATCCGTTCATTTAACGGGCAAGTAGTTGATCAGACTTCTGTGCCCAGCCAGACCGAAACAATTGTTTGTTTCCCTGGGATTCGAACCCTGAACCTCTCGCGCTTAACGCAATGCCAGGCAATACGTTTAACCGTTTGGCTACAGAGGCGGTCGAGTAATTAAAATAAATGAAAAATGTTTAACCAATATATTTGACATATCATTGTTTTTCGGGCTGTTCGGCCAAAGTGGCCGCGACAGCCTTACACAATTTATTAAAATATTTCGCATTTCAAACCGTTAAAAAGTGTTTTATTTTACAGGTGTAATGGTGTTAGAATGGCTAATAATCGACGGGTCGCGTCATCGATTCCCAATAGGTCCATTTTTCTAATCAATTAATAATTTTTAGGTAGATGAAAAAGCCGCCAGTTTTATCGCGTTTCAATATGTCTGAGGATTTCCAATTATCCAAAGCCTTAATAGGTAGCGCATCTTTAAATGTTACATGGCTGGGATACCAACCATCACGTGAATCCCGCTCTTGTCTGTTCTCCTATATCATAAACAAATACGAATCCTGCTCGTTTCAGGAACAAACAGAATGCTATGAAATTCTCATTCTAGCATTAGTTAAGAGGCGGAACCCTTTGTTAAAAATATACCAAAAATATAAAGGGAGCGTCTACAGATCCTAAAATATTTCGACAACACTACGGTGCAAGGACGACACCGCATGTCCCTAACCTCCGCAGACGAATGTAGTCCACAGCGGAGCGAGGTCGCGATCGATGCGTCGCCGACTTATTACTTTTCCACCGAAAATCAATGCTCGCCCCATATTCCGGAGACAGACGAAGTCCCAGCGACGCGGACACCGCCTGTTTTGAATTTATAAGCGCGCAACAGCTGATCGCGGCGTTGCCGTTCTTCGCTGCGTTGCCGTCCTTGGCTGCGTTGCCGCGCCTCCGAGGCGATCGACCGAGCTCCCCCCACGCGGGGGGGGCTAGGCACATTACTCAGCGAGTCTGAAATAGTTGTCCCTTTTACCAGAAAAACGTTTGGACAATTGCGCTCCTATTAGGAATTCGTGTTAGTCGTAATTGGGGAATTATATTGGAACGATAAGATTGTAGCAGATATTTAAATAAAACCATTTTAACGGTTTAAAACGCGAAATATAAAAGGTAACCTATTATTTATGTAATGTAACTACGGGTGTCGATTCGGATGCTGCAAAAATTGAATTTAAATGAGTTAATTAATATGTTTCGCGTTAAGGACCGCTAAAAGGGTTTTATTTACTCTCGTGAACTACGGTCAGTACTTATTCGTAAGTTCTGCAAGAAATACATACTTAAATAAAACACTTTTAACCGTTGAAGATGTGAAAAGATGACCACGGCTGCTGCAAAGCATCCGAAACGTCGGGCCGAAGTTAAAAATCATTTTCAAATAAGTTTAACTAATATATCGCGTTTTAAACCGTTAAAGTGTTTTATTTAAATGTGTACTACTCGCGTAAACTATAGACAGTACGAAATACATATAATATTATTATTTTGACTACGACGCGACGTTTCGTAGGATTCCAGCAGCCGTGGTCATCTTATCACATCTTCAACGGTTGAAAGTGTTTTATTTAAGTATGTATTTCTTGCAGAACTTACGAATAAGTACTGACCGTAGTTCACGAGAGTATTTTTGGCCTTCGTGACACATCTCTCCGTTACACGACTATCATGTTTCGCCGCGATTCGAACTCAGAACGGCGACCATTGTGCCATAGAGGGAATCTAGGTCTATTGAGAGTTACTGTTCTAATTACATTTTATTGTGTAATGAGACAATTAAATGTTATTAACAATTATGATAATTGAGATAAAATAAGCCCTTCTCACCACTATTAAATGTGGTTAAATAATTACATTAATTGCTTCGCAAAGTTAATTGTAAATTGTAATTGTAGAAATTCTTAAAGTATTAGCACTGTCTGTAGTTCACGCGAGTAACATTTAAATAAAACACTAACGATTTAAACCCGATATATTAACTAAACTTAAGTTCCCCGACGACGGCTGCTGCAAAGCATCCGGCCTTAGTTAAAATAAATTTCAAATAAGTTTAACTAATATATATCGCGTTCCAAACCGTTAAAGTGTTTTATAGAAATTTATAAATAAATAAAAATTGCAACGGTTTAAAACGCGAAGTGTATATTAAATTTAAAATTAGTTAGGGGTTGTCCATTAATCACGTGAGGCTTGAAAGGGGGGAGGCGTTTGATAAAAATCACGAATATAACAGAAGAGGAGGGGGGGGGGGGGGGGGTATAGTAAGATATCTCGTGTATTTATTTTTTCTAATTTGAAAATATTAACGGTGTAGACATTTTTATTTTGCACCTTAATTTCAGAATAAAATAAGATTATAGTTTATACCTGTATTTATATTAAGATAATATTCAGAAAATTTTAAGATTCTTCGTAGGTACTAAAAATACACGTGATGTTGAGAAGGGGGGAGGGGGGTGGTCTTAAACCTCACTACGTATCACCAATGGGGGAGGGGGGGTTTAGAAATTCAAAAAAAAGGTCACGTGATTAATGGACAACCCCTTAGAGCGACAGCACGGAACGCTATGGATGCCGGTTCAATTCCTGCCCGAGTCGAATTTTTTTTTTCGATGTTTAAACTATACAGTGCCATCATATTATAAAAGGGTATAGGGACGAAAGGGTAAATTAAGTAACTATGGGAAAAAGGTAATTATTATCGTAAATACTAGTAATCTAAAGAAACAAAAACAAGATAACAGACAAAAGCAATTTACAGACAGGATGGCATTAGTGTTGTGTCATTATCGATAGAGTTGAGGAAGCACGGTATCGTAAAGCCTACTCGCTCTCACCACAGATTATATACACTCACGTAATTTCGAAAATGGAACGGTACTGTTAGTGCACGGTGAACGGTTTGAAACGCGAAATATATTTTTATAGAAATTTAAATATAACCTCGGAGGTTGTGTCTGCAGGCAGTATACATGATTTTAACGGTTTAAAACGCAAAATATATTTTTATAGAAATTTAAAACTATAACCTATAACGTACACGCCAACCTTATAAGTTATCTGCAAACACTATACATGATTTTGACGGTTTAAAACGTGAAATATTTTTTATGAAATTCAAATATCTATAATGCATACGCCAACGTTATAGGCTCTCTACAAGCAGTACATATGAATTAAACAGTTTGAAACGCGAAATATATTTATATAGAATATTAATTTAACCCATACGTTCTCATAGGCTGTGTCTGTAAACAGTACACACGATTTAAACAGTTTAAAACACGAGATATATTATTTAACTTATTTACAAATTACTTGAACTACATCCCGAAGTTAGGGATGATTTTCAACAGCCGAGGTCACGTAGAGATAAGTTTCGCAAATTTATCGTTTTAAACAGTTAAAAGTGGTTTTATTTAAGTTGTATCTGTGTTTGCTTTGTGCAGCTTCCAGCCTCAGTACGCAGCCAGTGCCGTTAGGACTATCGATCCATTTACTCGCGCCTGTACTTTACAGCTTTCACTCAACACTCACATAAAACTAAAGTGAAATACCGTAGTGCGGACACACTTTTGTGTCTCACTGACACATTTTATGTATTTACTAGCTGTGTCAGCGTGAGGTTGTTTGTTTGTTTGAACGCGCTAATCTCTGGTACTATTAGTTCGAATTAAGAAATTATTTTTGTCTTCATTAGAGTATATATCGAGGAAGATTATAGGCTAAAACATATCGCGCTGACACGAATTTTGATGATGAGAAGAATGCTCTGTTGACCTATTTCGTCTTTGGATATTTCGAAATCAACAGACTAAAACGCGAACTGGTAGGATACCACCCAAACCACCAGGATACCAGTTTAGCTAAACTTTTAATTTTTCTATAACATAAGCTTACGATATTTGAAAATAGAATGTTCCTTGTTAAAGTGTTTATTCAAACGATGGCATACGAACCCAATGAAGGTTACAAGGCCGAAAACTTTTCGGAGTGAGGATCACGTGCTCCCGAAGTTAATTTCAGGTCTCGTGTTAAATTTTCTTTGACTGTTGCGTCCTTGCTTAAGTTTCAGACAATACTTAAATAAAATAAAAATATATCAGAAATAACGGGTACTGAGGCTGGAGGCTGAATCGCACAGAGCAAACACAGATACTAATTAAATAAAACTATTTTTAACGGTTTTAAACGCGAAATCCGAGAGGCTCCTGTCTTAGCGTGACCTCGGCTCCCGAAAGACATCCGAAACGTCGAGGCTCGGTTAAAATAATTTTTAAACTATCTTAGCTTATTTATTTCGCGTTTTAAACCGTTAAAGTGTTTTATTTAAAAGTGGCTGATCTGGCAAACGAGTACGAAGAGTTTTTATTGTTTACTATTTTGATAACTTCGTGGTCACGGCTGCTGCAAAGCATCCGAAACGTCGGGCCGAAGTTAAAAATCATTTCCAAATAAGGTTAACTAATATATCGCGTTTTAAACCGTTAAAGTGTTTTATTTAAATGTGTACTACTCGCGTAAACTATAGACAGTATTTAGATCAGCCACTTTTATATATTTACCCGGGTTCCAAACCTAAGACCGCAACGCAATGCACCATTAGGTCATGGAAACAATAGTATATTATGACTATTAACAGACAACAATGGGGATCATACGGCGCGAACGGACAGACAGACAAGCTCGTTAGTGGTATTATGGTAATCTGGCTGGGCGCGGCAAGACCATATCGAGTTAGTACTAACTATAGTGTATTTTTTCTTACTTGGCAGCAGAGCACAACAAATATGGCCGATTCCAAACCATAGACAACTGGCGATGCCCTTTTATAGAGTGAAGTAGTTTCCACAGATGACACAGGGATAAAGTAATATCGATTATATGTGGACCAAACGTCAAAATTATAAATCATTTTTTAGATTTATTAAAAAAATCAATATTATTTAACAATACGTTCGTAACGCTTTTCAGCGATCGTGCATGAGTGGGACTTCTAACCTCTATTGTCGTTGACTTTGCTTACATCTCGTATGTAAATGTCAAAGTAAAGAAATTTTAATCTGTGCATTTAGGTAAATTCATTTGTAGGATTTTTATTAATTTTAACATGAAATTGTCGTATTTACTTAGTGAATTTGGTGGTATTTCATTAGTTTAATATATAATCCAGTGATATAAACATAAACAGTTAGTCCTTAATACTGTCTGTAGTTCACGCGAGTAGTACACATTTAAATAAAACACTTTCGGTATTATATTTATCGGTTTAAAACGCGATATATTTGAAAATTACGTTTAGAAACAAGTTTACACGGCTGCTGCAAAGCATCCGAAACGTCGGGCCGTAATTAAAATAAATTTCCAACAAGTATAACTAAAATATAAGACGTTTTAATCCGTTAAAGTGTTTTACTTAAATACAGTTAGTTATTCAAATAGCCATTACAACTACTAAAGCTTTTCAAACTATACCACGACAATAATACTAAGTATTTAAATAAAACACGGTTTAAAACGCGATATATTAGTTAAACTTATTAGGAAATGATTTTTAACATCGGCCCTACGTTTCGGATGCTTTGCAGCAGTTTAACTAATATATCGCGTTTTAAACCGTTAGAGTGTTTTATTTAAATGTGTACTACTCGCGTAAACTATAGACAGTATTTAGGACTAAGTAGTTAATAAAAATGTAATTTGGGTTATATTTATTACATACAACGCAACACCCAATTATGGCATAACTATAATACCATACAATTATTTTGGTGCATGAGTGGGGGGAGTGGGGGGTGGAGTGACTGATGAATATGCAGAAACGACTGTAAGGTCACTAGAAGTTGTTTACTTGGTAAGTTTGTTGAACTCGTAGGTACGGCCGCGTATTCACTACTGCATTTTATAGTGAAAGAATTCAACTATAGTTAAATAAAATACTT